GTAATAAACAGCTTTGTCCTGTCGCCTTGGTCGACAATGTAATGAGCTGAATATGGCGAGACAGAGCTCTAAATAAATGGTCGTGTTTGGGGAAAAAGAATCTCGATGACTCAACTGTCATCGAGAAAATATCGAGGCTGTTTATGCTCGAAAAAAAAAAGTATTTACAAATGATGATGGAACTCTAAAGGTGGTTGAGAAAATAAAACATGTACTAAGGGTACCGAAGAAAAGTAAAAAACCAAATGAAACAAAGAATGAGTTCACCGGGGGAAACGCGCGGCGGTCAAGTTCCGGGAAAGGGCGGAATGGCTCAAACGACGCTGAGTGAGACACTCGATGCTTGGGTAGCACGGTAGTTGCGCTGCCAGCTATGGTCAGCAACACTGCTCACCACCGAGGTCATTGACCTTGAAGTTCCTGCTCACGAATGCTGACTGAGGCTCGCTGCAGTAGATGCCAGGCTGGCGACGTTCTGGCGACGTTTCAACCACACCAGGCCCAAAGTGGTCGGCTAGCTGGTTTAACTCCAGGCGCGTAGACGGCTGGTTTGGCCCCAGGTGGGAGCCTGCTCCTACCTCGAGTCCGGAACTCGACAGGTCTCTGCTCTCGCGCCGTGGTTCTTTGATTGCCAGCCACGTCCGCTTATCTTCTTCCCCTTCTTTCTCCGTTTTGTCCCACCGCGTGCCTCGATTTCACCCGTCGTCTTTCTCGATGGTCTCAGAGGCGCGTAGTTTCAACGCGTTTCCGGTGCTTTACTGTTCACTTGGCCCTCCACATACGGCCACTTATCACACACCTCCGCTTCTAGCCACTATAGCATTGCATTCAACACGCCATCGTGTTGTTGCCAGTGCTAATAAGATAATCACAAAGGCTACGGTCCCGCGAACTCGTGGTGTGGTTCAAGGTGGAAGCGCGTGATGAGTCGACCTTCGAAGATCCATCATTGTCACCGTGGTGTCGGAGAGTTTTCATTAGTGCCTAATCTGGCATTCCCACGATAGTGCGACATGGTTGTCAGCATTTAAAAAAACAGTCAGGGGCCACACCAGAAACATTGTCAGGGGCCACACCATGCGCACGCAGTGAAACCATGCATGCACTGCGTCAAACGAAGGGCGAACAACACGGATACCGTCAAAAACTATTGGGTAAAGCACCCCCCATATGCAGCGTTGCCCCACATACGTGACGCTAACTAAAAGCATGGCATTGCCAAACCAAACATAGTTGTTTTTTTTTTTTTTTTTTGGTTTGGAGGGAGGAAAAGGGCACATTCACGCATGTGCTCGCGGTGGGCCGGCTCATAGAGCGCAGGCCCGCCCCGCGCACGCCCGCATGCAGTAATGAGCACTCATTCTTGCATGGGAGTCGTCGGGGCCACGAGCACGGCGCCGCTGCTCCGCACTTCTTTGGTGGCCGGGCAACCGCGAAAGATGCATGCTCGTGCCAAAATGACAAAATCCAGGGCAAAATTTCTAGATTGGCCGGGGTGAAAATTTGTAATATCAAGGATGCCTTCTACTGTTACTTTGTTACATAGAGGTCGCAAATACATGGGATTTTATGGATCAATGGTGGGTAATAAAAAAACTGTGTTATATTGAGGAATTCGTTGTATGAAGGTTCATAATAAGCAGGTTGAATTGTATACACTGGAAAGAATTTATGAATCATTGAAGCCTCTCCAGTGGCTTATTTACCTGTGGGATTCTGCTACCTAGAATAGCATGGCTTCACTGTATAGGGTCTCAACCATTGAAAAAGCAAATGTTAACAAACTAGTCAAAATTCTTCTGGAGCCTTCCATTGCCATACATCTCATAGTCTGCAGAGTAGGTTTAGGATGCAAAAACGTGCACATTTATGAAATACAGCATTTTAGGAAGTACAAGGAACCATATGCCTATGTATTCTATGAATTGTTTGCAAAGTGCATGATTTGACAAAACATTTATACAACTTTAACCAAATGTCATCTGGTCAAACTAATTGCTGTGATGACCATAGTGGCTATGGCTGGCTACAGCTGCCACTGGACTAGCATGTAAGAGGGCTGATTTGAGGTTGCAAGATAGTAAAAAATGGCCATAGTGTTGGCTTCAATTAATGATGTTTTATACCTGTAATCACACTAAATATCAGAAAAATTAGATGGTGAGAGATTGCAGCACCTGAATTTTGCTTGTTTTCATATATTGATTTAGTGGTGTATCTGGCTATGCCATAAAGGCGTTCAAAAATTTGGCTCCTCGTTTTGTGTGATTGTTTCTTTTCACATATTTTTAGCAGGCCTCATTGTAAATTTTAGTTATAAACTAGGAGTTTTAGGGTGACATCTAGGGAGCATTTTGCCATAACTATTTCTCTAATTGGCTCATTATCAGAGTAGGGAAAAATTGTATCGTCCACTTAGCACGCCTTCATGAAGCAGGCAATGCCGTCAAGGGCAGTGAATGCCTGTTCACTCTTATGCCTTGACTGACATCTGAATGTGGTGTTCTTTCCCTGCGTTTCTGTTAGTGGAGTTGAGGTACTGTCAACTGTCACATTCATGGGACAAGGGCAGGCTCGCTTCATCTTTAAATTTTTACTGTGCAGCTTATTTGCTGTAGTGGCATTGCATGTTCTGCATCGACTGATTGATCAGTCACATGACATGGTTGGTGATGTTGGAAGCAGTGCGCCTTGCATGCATAGAGGCATTTGAGCATGTGACCTTGACCCGCTTTACGCTCCACTTCATAGTGAAGAAAGGGTGTTCAACCTTTCGTTTTAAACTTCAACTGTTTGTGAGCACTTGTGTTTTGCACAGACATTATTGTGATTGTGTGATATTGAACCACACTTGTTTGTTTGCAATGCCTAAACCTGCTGAGGAACCCTTTAGTTAATTTATATGTATTTGTTTACTCACTGCAGTGCAGCTCTATTGTACTAGTAGGGCTATGGCAGGAGGGGTAACATTTTTATTATGGACTAGGCAAATAATTGGAATTGGTTAATTTAGACAAGTGAATGCACACACATGAGAAAAAACTACAGGCAAGACGGTTTTGATGTCCAGAAGGTACACACAATTTTGTCTAAAAGCCAGTTTAATGATGAAAAGGGATCAGTACAGGATGAGAAATTCACAGTCGTATTGAAAAGGGGAAAAGCTGTAGTATTTAAATGTGTTAGAAGGGGAAAGGGGTAATAGTAGATCCAAAACATAGAAACTATGGAACAGCTTTCTTTGGCAAGTGTGATATGTTTGTAGTTACAAAAACCAGAAGTAAATTTAATGATGAGGTAAAGAAAAATTGGGGACTAAGTTCGATAATGCAGCAAAAGTTCTTGGAGGTTGAAGGACATCATTGCCTCTGTCGGTGAAGAACTACAAGTGAATAGATTTATCCTTACACAGAGATTCAGGTGAACTTACTTAATATTATATTGTTACGAAACCATGCACGTAGATTCAAGAATAGTTCGAAAGCATATTTTATATAAAGGCAGTTTATTATAATGTGGATGGTTAGCTTTAAGTGTGGCATATGTATCCAAGTGTTCCAGCCTCTTTCTTGTTTACGTGTTCATTGTGCCACACCATAATAACACCCATTACACTTCTAATGAAACACTCCAAAAAGCCTCCAGTAGGGTGCATTGGTATCTTTTAGCAAGCTCGTCACAAGTTCATTTTATGGCTTCAGGGGAATAAGGTACTGCTTACATACAAGTACTACAGGTACTACTTACAAGCCAGAAACTGGACACAGGCAAAAAACAAAATGCACGAAACTGGTGCCATACAATTTGTTAAATTTGAACTTTTGATAGCATTTCAAAAGAATTTTTGAGCATTCTACTGTTGTGATACCATCTTTCATTTGCCACGAAGCTTCTCACTGACGAGATTTATGTCATAAGAAATGTACTCATCACCAGTAAAAAAAACATGAGCATGTGGCTCTTTATACTTTTCAGCTGCATTTCAAAAGAATTTTTGAGCATCCTGCTGTTGTAACACCATCTTTCATTGGCCACGGAGCTTCTCACTGACGAGATTTATATCCTAGGAAATGTACACATCACCAGTAGAAAAAACATGAGCATGTGGCTCATTTATACTTTTCAGCTGCATGAGGCAATTTAGCCACATATGCTGGGAACTTGATTTGAAATGGTTACACTTTTTTTTTTAATAATGTAGCTCTATGGTTTCCTTGATATTGTAATGTTTTACGCACATTGAGGACTACAAAACAGTATGCAAATAAGAAAACATACCTTTCATCCTGTCGATTTCAAAATTTTCTGTCATTCAGTGCAGCCAGACAAAATGAAAACACATTTTCTGCCATTGTTGCTATGGCATAACTGTCTTCTATACAGCATAATCTTTCCACCTTTGTCTGCTGTACTATCTGTATTCTGTTAATATTCACACAAACACTACATCTTGACAAAACCAGACAACTCACTGATGGCCACCACTCACTTGACATGATGCTGAACTACTGCGAGGCCACTATGGCAGCACAGTAAAAACAGCATTCATAAAGGACACTTCAAGTGCTACTACTTCTTGCTTCAAATTTCAGTTCACAAAGACGTAACTAAACTTTGAGCCTTTATTCTGCACATGTATGCATTTTATCAGAGGAAATAGCATGCCTCCGGCTGGTCTGAGTGGGTTGAACAAGCCCTGCGATGGCCATGATTAAACATTGTTGAAAGGACACAAAAATTGAAAGCTTTGATGTCTTGGCACAGTTGGTAATGTTGGTTACTCTCATTGGGAGCCAGCAAAGCTTCACATCTATAAGTGTGAAATAGGTAGCTTCATGCAGTACATGCCAGCAGATTGGCCGCGAACAGTAAGCGAAATGTCCATTTTCGAAGGTGTGCCTTTTTTTTTTCTTTTTTTTATGTGAATGCTTTGCTGTTGAAGCTGTATACCTTTTTTTATGTACATAACTCTCACATTAAGGGCTGGCATTTTTGTGCAGGGTGTACGAGAATAGCACACGCTGTGAAGTTGCCAGTTTCCCTGTCCAGCGAATTTTATTTTGTGCAAGAGGTGCCCAGGGCAGTGCTGAACAGCACTGTTTTGCTTTCACCTGTTCACATGGAAACAGTGCAGAAGAGGCCATCTTCCAGTGCCATGTCTTCCGTTGCACTAAAGGAGGACCCCCTGCTGTGCATAGGTAAAGGCAGTAGTGGCAGGAAAAGCTGGCTGCACATGAAGGATGACAAACTACAGATGTGCTCTAACAAACTAGCTTCTTTAGAACATTCACACTTCACAGAACAACACTGCTGTAACCAGTAACATCATTACAAGATCAAAGCTCTAATTTCATTTTGCTATGAGCATTCCATAAACACTGTACACTTCGAGATATTAACATGTGGCTAATGCTTACCTCTTGATTTTTCTATGGCAAATCCCATTTGAGTAGAACGTGCCTATCTTGGTAATTTTAAGGGCACTGAGTCGGTGCCTACTATTTCCATGTATTTTATAATTATGAATGCTTTTCCTGGCAGATTCCATATGCAGTAGAGTTCTGCTAAGGTGATCCTGGTCAAACTATTTTCAGACTTGGGGGGAAGTTTTAGAACAGTGTTATAAGCTGTGAGAAATAGCCTTAAGATACAGACGTTAGCATACCTGCCAAGTCTCCCAGATTGTCCGGAAGACTCGGATTTTGAACGTTTCTTCCATTTGTAGGGTTGTCATGAAAATCTTTTGGAAATTGATATTTCTGTGCATGATCTAGCCATATTGACAAAAATGCAGGTCAATCCACTTCAGGCTTTTTGTGAACCGCGGCAGATACGAATTTGTGAACTTCCCCAGCCAAATTCTACTGTGTTCATTGGGCCAAAATTAGAATGCATGTTCCGAACACTTTTCAATCACTGCGGGTGAAATGAACTTTTGCACTGAAACCGTCGAACGAAGGCAGAGAATAGCGTGCTAGAAGCCTCGGCAGTACGCGTGCATCCAGCGCACGCACTGTCTTCTACAGTGTGTGTGGTTGTCGTTGCCAACCACAGTCATTCTTGACACGATCATGTATGGCGAAGACGTAACTGACAGTACACCAAAAGTGTGCGCACATACAACCCTCAACTAGTCAAAGCAATGCTGCTTTCCGTAAACTGTGAACAAAAACTGCGGCAGATGCGATCATAAATGGCATAAAATGACATCGTTTTGAAGGCACAAGGGCAGCCAGCACACACGGGTTGAAAACGGAACTGTTGTTTGTCGCAACCGCCGTGCACGAAACCGCGGTCGCAGCGACGCGCTAGTGATCTACGAGCTCCGAGGGCACGCGGCTACCGCACTGGTAGATTAAAGGCAGTAAAGACGTAAAAAAGGCTAGAAGTGTTTTGGCGTTCTTGTAAAAAGAATCTAGTAGCGAGCAAAGCAAAGTACACCCGCGCTTTTGTCGCAGCCAGCTGCGCCGCCCGTCCGTTCATGTGTGTCCCAGGAAGACATACGCGGGTTGTTTCGATGGAAATTAATTTTGCTAGTTGTTTTTATGACACAAAATTTTGGGAGTATTTGCGTGCTAGTTGTTTTTATGACAAAATTTTAGGAGTATTTGTGCTCCCACTCTGAGACTCTTATCTTAGTGAGAAACCCTACCCTCGTGTGTTCGGCCACTTCATGCCATTATAATACCGCAACACTGATGTTTGCAATTGAGACCCCCCCCCCCCCCCCCCCGCTTCTTGTTTTTCGTGCTTGGGATTGGCATTCCCCCTTATTTTTCGCGATGTAGTTTTGTCTTTTGGTGCCAAAAAAGGGGTGGCAAATAATTTAGTGCAGCGATCCCCCCCCCCCCTCCCGTTGCTGAAATCTCCCGGATTCAGAATCCTTGAGCTTGGTAGGTATGCATAAAGTACATGCGATGCAGTACCTAAACATAGATAAAATTGCATTGTGTACATCTCTTTTAAACCAGGTGCAGAAAATAAATGTGCTTAACATGAACTATTCATTCCGTTTAACTAGACTTCTGCAGTCATCACTAATGATCACCTACTCTGACTCGGCAGCAAGTCTGCATCATTATACTTGGAGGAGGTGACTCTTGAGCAGCTGTGTGAGAAACGAGCACCGTATCACTGATTGCATGAAAACATAAAGGGCACATTTCAGGATTCAGGTTCAGGGACGGTTGACGTAAAACTGAAAATACACTGAAACAGAAATATATTAGTCACACCTTAGGAGTTTAGTACAATTTCAGTCATCAGTAGTGCACGGGAAAAAAAATATATATTTTTTGAAAGTGTCAGTTATGGCAAAGTAAGGAGTAGATTATTTTCAAGTACACCATATTTTGAAAGTGTCAGTTATGGCAAAGTAAGGAGTAGATTATTTTCAAGTACACCAGCGCCACCAACGGGCGCACAAGCGCTCACGGGAAAAGTGTCTATTGACACTGTCGACAAATACAACATAAGATTCGAATCTTTAAAGAGTTCTGGAAAGTATAGTCGTCATTTAATAAAATAAGATACAATCACTGAACAGCATGCGTGTCAATCGCACCATAGATGTAATGAACAATAAGTGTCTACTAACCTTCTTTGGCACAATAACTACAGGTTGGAATAGTGCTTATAGAGAAAAAGAAGAAAAATTAGAACAAGGAAGGGAATGCGCACACCATCTAGTGCCTACTCACAAATGAAAGTTTATTACACGCATTAAAAAAATTAACGAAAATGGGGTGCAGCGTGCGTGTCATAAAGAGGCAGAAAAGCCAAACACAAACAACGAAGGCGGCGCGTGTTTATGGTCGACTAATAAAGTCAAATTACCTGTCTTGTAACAACCACGAAGGTCGACTTACACAAAGTGCGGTGTTATTAGTGACATGATAAGCCTTTGCTATTTTTCGCATTGTCTGATCAGGTTGATAGTACAAACTGCTGTGCTTTAGAAGACTGGATTACATTTGCTTGACTGACAAGCGAGGCTAGATGAGACGGCTATATTAAATGAATTTCGACGCTCGCTGTGGCATAATTAATCGACATATATATATTAAAAAAATAGAAATTTGTGTTAAACTCTTTTACAACAACTGACAAAACAGTTGGCATCAGTCAGACTGCATTTTTTTGTCCAGTGTAGAATCTTGGGACCTTTTGTGTACTACCGAACAAATGCAACTAATCCTATTTGTGGTAGCGAACACAACTCTCACAACATGTCGCTTCCCTACAATATTTTGGGCCATGCGACTTCTTATGCATATGTGAATTAACTGGTTAAAAATTTGGGCTAATTGGTAGTTCATAATTCGTTCAGCGAACTGGTAGCGAGGGTCAACTCACACAAGAGGCAAAGAGGAGGCACACAGCACGAGTGTGAGTGCTCCTGCTGTGTGGCTCTTCTTTGCTTCTTGTGTGTGTTCCCCCGCACTCCCGGTTGGCTGAACAAATATGTGAAATAACTGCTATTTTTCAAGCATCTTCATTATTCATGGGTGAAGTACATCCGTATTTATCTTTCTTTGGCTTGCGAAGCAATTGTCACAAATTGATGCAAGGATATGCAGATACCCGGCCTCTTTGAGGTGATCAATTTGCAGCTAAAGACTACTGCTCATTTTATGTGCGCTAGCTTTTTTTTTTTCGATGCCGTGCGTAGCGTGACGTCTGATTTTCTCGTTTAACAATATTCAAATGCGCTAACACGAAAATAAACACCGGTTTCGCTAAACCCGCAGTGAAACTTGAAATTATGTATCAAGAAACTGCAAATTATCAGAGAAAAGAAGCTCACAAATGAATTCGAGTTGCATTCCATTTTGTTGAAATACAATGACAGTGTGTGCACTTTTTTGTGCGGCGCATGACTTGTGAATTTAAATTAAATAATAATATCTATACCTTAACGCTGCAAGACCTCCCTGCAGTTTGGTTACACCTGATCAAGGACAAATAATTGTTCAGCTGAACAAGTAATCGATGAATAATTACGAATTCGGGGTTTCCAGCTCTCATTGCTCACGATAGCCCATTTTGACTGCATGTATCGGCACGTGCTCATTCGTGTGCCGCTTAGGCTACATCCTGTATATATCTGCTTGGTAACACCTACACCGACTGCATCAATTTCCTTTCGTATTTCATGCATAGAGATACATGCAGGTGCATTGAGACATGTATAGTATTTAGGATGTAATAACAGTCAACAAGCGGGGACACGTTTAATTTTTATTTTTTGTTTGGTGCTCCTATGGCATCAACAAGCAGCGGGTAATGAAAAATAGCCAGTGCACCCGACTGGTTTGACATACCAGGTTTTCTCATAGTGCTTCACGTGCCCGCGGGGGTTATGAGATTGCTTGAAAATGGTCTATTAAGGTATGCCAATGGTGATCTGCCTGGTTACAAGGGATGTTAAACAAGGCGAGAGGCCTAGGGCTAGGTTTTTGTCAATTGGTTGTTGGAGAAATTCAATGCGGGATTGTTTTTATGTGAGTGAATGTGGTTATAGTTCATCAGTTGTGTTGGTAAATCAAATGTAGAAGATTTATTGTACAAATGTACTCAAACCAGACAGCTTGTCTTCAAATCAAACCAGGCTACATTGTTACTTTCTTTGACATTTGACATTGTTTATTTTTATCATGTACCCACTCCTGCCATGGCCCTGCTAAATGGCTGCAGTATGTGAAAATGAATAAAATTGCTTTTAGTGTAAAGGTCCTATATTACTGAGAGAAATAGTCAAATTTTGGCTGAATAATAGTGAAATGGCCTGGTAGTCTCACTTAGTAGGTGCTTTTCTAAGTTTATCTAAAAAAAAAACACATTGCTAAATTAGGTAGAAACTGATGTTTAGTAGTATAGAAAGTTCAAGATTATGTGTTTGTAGGACTAATTTCGAAATATTCGTCATAATTATTTTTCTGTGGTCTCTACCATACTTAATCACATATTGATTTTCTGAAAAGACTCGGGGTAATAATTATGGAAAGACCGGGGGTGGCGGGGTGTAAAAACTTTTATGCAAAGAATTGCAGCATGGACGAGCAGTGGTTAGTCTGGCAGGATCCTGTTTGTGATTGCTGCAAAATTCTTTCATAACTATTAGAAAGTCACGTTTGGCTGTACAGAGAAATACATATCTTGTTCTTCATGACAATTAAGTTCTTCCTATGAGATGGTG